CAAGATTGAACACAGGCCCTCACACATGCTAGCCAAGGGCCTATATTCCAGCCTCTAGGATGTGGCCCTTTAGTGGTTCTAACACAAAGCAAAGTAAGTTTACTAGGTCTGTTAGAGAGTCCTGGACTCTGATTTCTATCTCCTAGTCACAGGACAATCCCAAGCACTAGAATTTAAATGGCCCTAAAGGAAAGACTGTCCCAAATGCCAAGGCTCCACACACTAGGCTTCTGTTCTTCTCTGTATCTGAATCTAATGATTTTTCACTAACTTAGCTTGCTAGGGATAAATGCTGAGCATGGAAGAGGCTGTTGGAATGCTGGGAGCAAAACAGCACAGCTGTTCATAGACATACTTAATTTAACATTCTTAGTTATAGCCACCTGTTTTATCTTTATTTTCTGAATTGTCATCTCCATACTCACAACCTCTTTGGGTTCTACTACAGAGAGGTTCTCTTTCTTGTCACAAACAGCCTTCTTACTTATTGTTACTTCCTCTTCTGTTTTATTTGTGTCAGGATTCTAACTACTTTTAATATTTAAAAAATTGTTAACATTTTCATTCACTCTTTATTGTCATTGTTCTCCTGGTTTAGGTGTTTGATTTACCATCTTAAGTCAGAAGTTCCAAACAATCATTTTAGAAATGAAAATATTAAGACTCACAAAGACAAGTGGGTTACCAAGGTGACAAAGAACTATGGCTATGAGGACCACAGCTAAAGTTACAGTTCAAGTCCCAATCATAGCCACTCTGTGCTCGTACCATATACCACCTTTATCACAGAAATTTTGTTGTGGACATAACTTTTGTTTTTTTATTTCTTTATATTAACAGAAAGTAAGTAAAAATGCTTCCAGTGTACATGCTTATACAGAACTGAAGGAAGAAGAGAGTAAGATTTTACAACAATCATTTCATGTTAAGATTGAAATTGTTACTTCTAAGAACTGCCAGACCTAAAATTAAAAATGATGTTTAAAAGATTAAACATTTCATACAATTGTTTCATAAAATAAAAAATTCTTTACTACTTGAACAACTTGAGATTTTTAGAAGGAGAAAGAAAAGTGTACATGCATTTTCCCCACTAAATCTTACAATTAATCTATCAACTTAGTTGATATTCATGAGTACTTTAAAATGCTAAACTTTAAAAACTTATTTCCTAGTAAATTTTTACTAACATCTTTTGATGAACAAAAACAAACAAATCAGTCAATGACAATTGTAAAAACAAGTTAAAGTTAGATGTTGGGGACTGAGTATGCAGCTCAATGATAAAAAGCTTGCTTAGCCTGAGGCCCTGGGTTTGATCTTCAGCACCCCAAAACAAAAACAAAATTAGGGTCACAATCTTTTATTCTGGTTCTGACTTTTCCATATAGTTCTGTACAAATTACTGGCCGAACCTGCACTTTGGTATATGTGTACACATGTCCTATGTCTTTACAATGCACTAATTTAATAGAAGACTAGTTTTAGAAACTATACACTACTGCTGTTATATTTTGTCTCACAAATGTGAAAACACACATGCCTTTGTGGTTTTCCTAATACATGATCATGAATTGTTGGTTTAAAACAAACACAAATTTATTGTCTACAATTCTCATTATCAGAGGCCCAAAATGTGTCCTAAGGGCTAAAACCAAGGGGTTGGCAGAACTGTGTTTTTTCTGAGGCTTTAGGGGGAGAATCTATTCCCTTGCCTTTTCTAGCTTTTTTAGAGCTTCCTGCATTCCTCTGTTCCTGGCCCCATGTATCACTCCATATTCTGCTTCTGTTATCACATTTCCCTCTCTGACTATGACCCTTAGATCTTCCTTTGTAAGAACACTTTCAACTATATTGGACCTACCAGGCTAATCCCCCACCTCAAGATCATTAATTTAATCAAATCCACAAATTTTCTTTTGCCACATAAAGTAACATATTCACAGGGTCTAGAGATTAGGATGTAGACATCTTGGGGGGGTATTATTCTGCCCAACACCCCCTCAAAAAGTCACTGCTGGATGATTTTAAGGTGTAATAATGACAAAAGAAAGTTCAGATAATCAATTAATAGTAAAATGGTAATATTTTAATAAGCAATGATAGAAAATCAATTCTTATTGTCAAGGTATAGCTAATTTATTGCCGAGTTTTATTTTAGCAAAAATATGTTCTTTTTTATTTTATTATAATAGGAATGTGCCATTACCAGATTATTTCCCCAATCCTAGTTGATGTCTTATACCTTGATAAAGGATGGTTATAAAAGAGAAATAGGATAAAAGGCAGGAAATCACTTCTAAAGTTTTTACTTTCCCAAGTTAGAACATATAATAAGAGGATATCATAAAACAGAATGTTAGTTTTAGCTATAAAATTAAAACTTTTCTTCTCTTTTTTTTTTTTTTTAGTGGTACTGGGGATTGAACTCAGGGCCTCATGCTTGTTAGGCAAGCACTCTACCACTTGAGCCACTACACTGGCCCAAAAAATTAAAACTTCTCTTGAACATGATAGTTATACTATGAAGATAAATTCAATTAACTGAGAATTTTCAAATAGCTATTTAATACAAGTTTATTTACTCATTATTGCTAAGATTCTAAATACAGATTAGATTAGGTGACAGTGCTGGTCAAACCAAAAAAGTATTGGTGGCTCAAAGTCATCAATAAGCCTTACCTGAGTAAAAGCAATGCCCCAAGAGACTAACATCTGGGTTTTGGTCCAGACCTACTTCTAACACCCTATGAGACAGGGAGCAGTCAATGACACTTCCTAGTCCTTAGCTGCACCATTTACAACAGTGAAGATTATGGCAGAGCTCGCAGTGATTACATTATACACTATTCATATCACGTCTAACTTAAAAAAACAAGTGGATAATAAGCCAATTGCAATAAATGAAGCTTTATTTAAAATGGCTGCAGTAGTTTGATAATTTTCTGCTTCTTCCCCAAGACCTTTGATATTTTCTGTTTCTTTTTTTCCTTCCTCTTACCTTCTTCCCTCCTTGTCTCTCTCAACAAAACGTGCCATTAACTCAAATAACGAAAGGCGGATTCATAAATCACAAAGAACTATTTACCATTGTTCAGTCAACTCTTTTATTATCATCCAACAGTCTCTCTAACACATGTTAGAACCATTTCCATTTGGACTTTAAAATCTATTTGTGTTGGACACTGGAATATATTACAGTACATAAGTAAATCCATTAGATGCACCTCTTCTTCAATGAGTTCAATATATATTTCTATATTTAATCTAATTATATGGTGGCTCCAATTATATCTAGTTCGAATCTGGTTTTCCTGCAGCACAGAGGCTCTTCCACCACTGAGAATAGAATTTTTGTTAGCTTTTTGTTGTGTAGGAGGTTATTTTTCAGCATGGTATTTAGTGGTTCCTACTAATAATTGAGAATTATTCAAGGGTTTGATCGAACTGGTATATGAATTTAAGCGGCAGAGTACAGTAAGTTCAATAACAAATATTAATACCCAAAAATCTGGGGAGATTTAATAAAAAGATCCTAATACCAGAAACATATCTTTATTCTGACATTACCAAACAATTTATTCAGAGTTACAGTATGGAGGACATAAAACTTTATAATATTTAACCTGGTACTTTAAGGTCTTCGCGATTCTATTGTTACTTAGTCATTGATTGTGTAAATTAAGAATCACCCATATTATTTTTAGAACCACGCTAGGGCCATTCCACTTTCTTTAGCCATTATTAAGTCACAATCCCTTCTCTATGTCCATGTTAAGTTTTTTTGGGGTTCAGAAGTTTCAGAAACTGAGGCAACTTGTACTCTTCTAAATGACATTTCAGATCACTGGGTTTATAAATCTACTAATAGGACTACTCCAATTTTTTCTGCTTGATCTAGCAAAATTGTTCTGCAATGGATTAGATGGTAAATGTTTTTAAATACACCACTTTGATATAAGATAATCTGTAAATTTGGCATCAGCAATTTGCTTCAGTTCTAACAAGGAAAAGCGGCGAGAGAGTGAAGGAGTTACCCACTAGCCAGAACATTCAAAAGGATGTAGGGTCTTGATTAATTATCAACCCCCTCTTTGTGAGCCTGAGTTGGGCTGTTAACAGTAGAAAAGTACATAGGTGGCTCTTCATAAGCACATGTCGCTTTGTCAGAGAACAACAAGAATTATCCTTTGTTTATTGTGATTTATTGAAGTCAAAAGAAGAAACAAAAACAAGTTATTGAGCCCCTGGGGAGAGGAAATCGGAGTGTATACCAATAGGCATCGATATGATTGTTGGAAGAGGGGAGCGTGCACTTCGATAAAGAAAACTATAAGAAGCTAAGCTGAGAAAACATGTGAAAAAGTTTTCCTTTAGCTGGCCAGTGATGTCGCAGCAGCTGATGTCTTACATGCAAGAGACTAAGGTTCAGGGTCAGGACTAACGGTTCTGAGTTCTGGCTGGACACATAGTTGAAGAGAGACACCAAGGAAGAGACGGCCAGCCCAACCCCTCACACAGCATCCCTTCCTGGTTAATCCATGGTGTGATAATGACACTGACTGGCTCATCCTGCCAATGAATGGCAAGGCACTGCAATGATGGCGCTAGAAATGAATAGGAGTGATTGGGAATAAAAGGGGGAGGGGAAAAGGTGGCCATGATGAAGAAATGAATAAAACTCCAAATTTCTGTTACACCTCCTGTCATACCTATTACTCTGCTATAATAATGACAGGGCAAATGAAAAAAAAGAAAGAAAAGAAAAAGAAACAAAGAAAAGAAAAACTGCTACCTATTTAAGTTTATGCAGTATTCTAAGAATTTGCGTTTGTATCCTATAACCTCACTACATGTAACTACAGCAAGTCTTGATTCAATTTAGCTCATAATTCATAAGACAGTATTTTTTATTAGTGTTTCTAAATCTTAGTGATTTAGTGTTACTTTTTTATGATAGCAAAAACTCAACCCTCACTATTAAAACTGTCCATACTTACCAAACAATTCCTTGGGCTCCAGAGCCAATTGGTTTCAACTGTTGGTAACGTTTTAGGACGGTGAAAGTTGAGTCTGCTACTTGCACACTGTAAAACTGACTATCCACATTTACTGTCACTCATGATGTAGTGTCATAAAATATTCCAAGGAGCTGGTATTGTTGTCACAGTCCTTAAAAGAAAAACAGAATGAACATACATTCTTACTTAATTAAACACACACAGTTCACTTAATAGCATTTCAAATTTATTGGATGTAAGACGACAGGGCTGGAAGTTGATAAACTCAATTTTACCAAATTCTAAACTTAAACAAGACACACACACACAAATGCAAAAACTTTGCAGTGATACAAGACCATTATTAAAGGAATGATTTTTGAAGCTCAGCAGGACCATCTTCTAAGGAACTGGATTAGAAAATAACTCCCTTTGGAGAAAAGAATTTATATATTAGTACTAGCCACAGTGAGACTATTAGGTCATTAAATGCTTTTTATCAGTTTGGTTCCTGGGGGACTAGTTGACAGTCTAGCGGTCTCAACCAGAGATGGGGTATTATTTCAGAATGACCTCTTCTACAGTTCCTGAAGACAAGCAAATGGATTGGTCTTCTGCTAAGTTTACAGATTCAGGTTAAAGTGATGGATCAGAAAGTAAAACTCATATGCCAAAGTCCTGTTACAGGACTGGTGACATTGGTGTATGTCATAATACCCCTGGATGGACCCAGCTCATGAAGGTGGGCTGGAGTTGGCCTGCATTCCCTTTGTCCCACAAATTTTGCTGTACTCTTCAGTAAAGAAAGTATTGACACTATAAAGCTTATTCACCTATATATGAATATAAACTAGTAGCTGCAGAAAGTAGCTTTTCTGTGGATTAGGTAGAGGCTAAATTCCCACTCTGTAAGAGCCTGGATGAGTCTACACAGAGAAGAAGCAAACATTTACTGGTCCCTTGGTGATGTTTACTGAAATGCTAGCAAGTTACTACTTTGGCCTTTTTTTTTTTTAATTAAAAAGCCAGCAACAAAATCATATAGGTAAATATCCTGCACTTCTTAAAAAACACAGAGTTAATTTTTCTACAGTTCCGTAAAATTCCTGCCTTTTTGTTCTACCATCTAATATTTAATGTCTACCCAATGATGCCTAGCATTTCCCTTAAACATGGAAATAAGTTAGTGTCAGCCCAAACAAAGACCTGAAGTCAAATTAATGGTTTCATCAATCCATGTTTTTCTCACCATTCTTAGGTTAGTCTGACCAGCCATTTCCACCAAGTCATTAGTACACCTGGTCAGGAAGTGCCCCCCTGGGACCCAACTACACTAGATGCTAGACGAACTTGACTGCTCACATCGACCCCCACAGCAGAATCATCAGCCCCAACTCAAACTGGAGCAACTCAAGGCTTTGAAAACTAGAGCACCTGCTTAGGTCACACTGCCATGAGGAAGGGACTCAGTAGCAGCTCTAGACTACTGTTGACTAAGTTCCAAGAGGGTGGGTACAGGTCAGTCTTGCTTATGTCACCTTACTTTCCAAGGACAGAACAGGGAGGGTCCGGCCCCTGGGACACTAAGTATTCAATAAACCTTTACTGATCTAACTAGAGCATTCCCCGCATTGCTACTATGTTTTATTGACATCTGAATATCTTTTTTTTATAAAGATGAGTTTATAGTTTGTAAGAGGCTAAAACAAACTCAACATTTGTACATGAAAGTACAAATATATTGTGAACAATCTTGAAGTAGCATAAAATTCACTATTTTGTGGAAGTGTGAGGAATGAGTTCCATTATCTATATTTTTAATATATTTTTAATTACGATGAGGTAAGGGTCATAAGAAAAATGTAAACAAAGGCAAAAAAGCACAAGAGAGCCTGGACGGGGGACAAAAGACAAGGAAGGTTTCATGAAAGAGGCAGAATCTGTGTGCTTTAGAGCATCTTGCCAGGGACAGACAGTAGAGGCACAGAGCTCAACCTCATTATATCCAGATGTGGTGAATTGCTTAGCTTGACTAGCAAGGTGCACATGCACAGATTAGACTCCACAAAAGGTCAGATATCCTCTACAACCGCTCACTGGGGCAGCCGTTCCTTTGCCATATTGTAAATACATCAGCAATGCTGTTCGTTTACAAAACATTTACCCACTGCTGATGAGGTCCCATGGCAGAACACAGTATCTGTTCTCAGAAAGCTTATAAAGCACATGTGGGCGTACTCATGAGGAGTCCCAACCAAATGAGGGCCCTAAACCCAGAAAGACAGGGAAATTTGGGGGTAAGAGAAAAAATAGTATGTACAAAGAGGAAGAGGTACACTGAAGTCATTTAAGGTCTAGTTTGCTGGGTAATGGGCGGGGCAGGTAGTGGGGAAGTGAAGCTGGAGAAAAAAATTAGGCCAGATAACCATGGGTCATGGAAGTCATTCAGAACCATCTGCGTTTGATTCTGAAGGATGTGGCAGAATCAAAGAACCAGAAGCACATGATTGTCTTGCTTTTCAGACAGGTGATTTGGGAGCTTAGAAGGATGGATTGGAGTGGTACTGGAGACAGAGACCAGGTAAAAATGACAAGACAGTGACATATGGCTTTGAGAAAGGTTTATGTGATGTGCTGACCTGGAGATGATCAGGGCGAAGAAGATGGAGGTAAGGAGACACATGCAGGGTTGATGAGTTTGGTTTTGGACAGGTGAGATAAGCAGTAAGACTATGGTACAAACTGCTGATATATTCCAGGATCCACTCCTTCCTTCCTAGCTTTATTAACAGGAGCCATGCTGCCCCTGCTGGAGAAATGGTTTCCCAGCTAGAGGCAACATTCTGGTAGCTTTCCTGGCATGGCAGTCAGGTATGGCCAGTGAAATGTAAGTAGAAGTAATGTGTGCAACTTCCAGATCACTTCCTTCCTCCCTCTCTCCCTCCCTCCCTCTCTAGGCTGCTTGATCTCCAATCTATCCTTCTCCCATGCTGCTGGCTGATGCATTAGCTGCCATATAGCCAAGGAAGGAAGTCACATGCTGGCCAATTCTTGAACAACTTTGTACCACAAAGCCAGACCCAGTTGTGAACCACCTGCTGATGTTGAGAAGGACATAAATCAATCTTCAACAACTCTGGAACTCTCTGCTATAGCTGCTTGCAACTCATACTTTGACTGGCACAAGATTAGGTGAGCTTCTTTAAATTTTGAGAGTACATCCAGTCATATTAGGTTCTAGAATTGTTAACATAATTTCATCTCAGATTTAAAATTATTCTAAAATTAAAAATAAAGTGCCCTTATTAAGCAGATAGAGAGAGTCTATCAAAGTCACCTTTTTTGTCACATTTGGGCTTCATGAGAGCAAGACAAAGAACCCCAAGGCAACCTGAGAAAGCATGTAATTTAGCTACTAATGAATCTACCCCATTAGGATTATACTGCAACAAACGGGAGCATCAGCCAGGACTCAGAAAAAGTTTCACAAATTGGGAAGTACAAGAATTTTTCACATGAGCATTCTTTGAATCAACAACACATTGAAATCTGCAACTGCTGCCTCCACTCCACTGGCTGCCTCCAGGAGTAGATGGTAGCTTCTCACCCTTATTCACACTGTGAAGATGGCCACCATAATTGGTCCAATACGGTGCTCCCTCAACACCACTTCTGTACTTGGCAGCACCTACTGTGCTACAAAAGCTACTTCCTTCTCTAGCCCATAAGCTCCTTAAAAGGAGAGAGACTGGGGCCTGGCAGGGGGAAACATACAGGACCCTGTAACTCAGTGGTATAGGGACTGCCTAACATGGATAAGCTCTGGACTTGATCCCAGCATCCTCCATGACCTCCCTCACAGACACACACAAACAAACAGAGAGGGAAAGGAATAAGTGAACAAGTATAGAGAGATGGTGGTAAAGGAGGGGTGTATGCAAAAGGCAAGACCAAGACCTGAAGACCTGAACTCAGTACCAGTTGAGGAATGAGGACACAGATATTTTACACATGCTGGTGAGAGCTATGAGTTGGCAAAATGTTTTTTGGGAAGGAATACAAATAGAAGCTAATGAAAAATTTAAATGTATTGAATTCCAACCTGGCTGCTACAATTCTACAAATGTATCTGATACATATGTACAAGTACTCAAAGACATTTATGCAAGTATATTTGTAGCACTTCTTGTAACAGGCAAAAAACTACAAATAAACTAAAACATGTACTGTGGAGTGAGGGAATAAGTTACAATAGAAAAGTACAACTGAATGCAGGGACTTTATATACTGATATAGAAAGATGTCTAAGGGCTGAAGGTGTGGTCAAGTGGAAAAGCATTTGCCTAGCAAGTGCAAGCACAAGGCCCTGAATTCAAATCCCAGTACCACAAAAAAAGAAAGATGTCTCAGATATTTAAAGGAAATAGGCAAGTTGAAGAAGAGTGCACACAGTAAATGCCAATCTATTCTCTCTCTCTCTCTCTCTCTGCTAGCAAGAACTGAAAAACGGAAATGAGAAACTTTTCCTCTTTCGATTTTAACTTTCTGTTCTGATTTTTAATCATGCATATTCACATTAAAAAACACATTAAACAAAAATTTTTAAACGAAAAGCTGCAGAATGATACTTCTGTCACCTGTATGGAGAATGGGTTTGAGATTGATAAGACTAGAGGAAGGACAATGGGCTAGACTCTAAGACACATTTTTAAATGCTCTCAGAACAACTGTGCAAATGAGGAAACTGAGGCTTGAAGGTGGTAAGGGAGTTGCCCAAATTCTCAGCATGACCCAGATTTGAACTGAGGTATGGCCACAATATTCATGCTCTTCCCAACAAAGCACTCCAGTATCTCAAATTTTATTTAGAAAGTAAAAATCATGTGTGTAAGTGCTGGTCAGGACTAGGTCAGAAAACACTGGCCTTCTCATTTCATTCTACTGGCTTCCCTCTACCAAAACACTTACAAAAAAATAGCTTATCACAACTTAACCTTCCTATCTGTTTGTTTGTTTTTTTTTTTTTCCAGTGATGGGATTGAACTCATGGACTCACGTATGCCGGGCAAGTGCTCTACCTCTGAGCTACACCCCTGGCCCAAACTTTCTTTGGTAACAAGAACCTTACAACCTCACAGGTCCATCCTTCTGAGCATCAGTTCTTAGACTAAG